CGACAGTCTCCAGTTGTTCTGTTTTTATTTCCAATCTTTCAAAAAACCTGTTGTGAAGACTTGTACCGCAGCTGTCAGAATGGTCATGGATGATAGGGGAAATATATTTCTGTTCACAAGTCTCAACTTCATTTGGAATATCAGCTTCAACGGTGAAGTACGACCAGTTTGGGGCCTGCGTGAAGTGGTGAACTGAAATGTAAAACGATACAGGTAAACTTTAAGATTTTTTCAAACATAATGCAAAAGGTATTAGGTAGTAAAAAATAATGCCGTAATATATAGCAATATTATGGGCTACTGATAAAACTTCAAAGTGCAAGATGACTAAACCAGTGGTTCTCATCCTCTATCCGCTGGGGGCCTATGCTGCTCTGAAGTATCTGCGAACCCGCAAAATTTTCAAACAGGAAAAAAAACATTAGAATAACATAGCATAGTGCTATTCAGACGACATTTAAATTAGCTGCCACTCAACAAAAATAGCGTACATGTACTTATTTATCTCATGTGATCTTGCACACCAAGTTTGTTCCTTATTTTCGTATTAATTTGAACATGTGTAGAAAACCCATGTCCACATATGTAAGCAGAGACTAAAGGATAATGATTTTTAAAGCAGTGGCGTTATGCTCACAACTACTTGTTTTTATGCGATATAATCATGAATCAAAACTGAATTTTTGTTATCAACATATTTTGATACGGAAAGCCTAAATTGGGATAAGTCTTTGTCGTATTTTCTCTGTTCAAGTAAAAGTAATAGCCTTCTAGTGACAATAACAATCTTTTCCTCTGAAAATTTCGAATCATTTGATACTGTAGGCTTGATAAACAGAGGAGCGATTACTACACAACAAGAACCATCTAATAAATAAAATTTGGAGGGAATTGGCTTACTAGGTTCAGATTGCTTGCTAGATGACTTACCGGTACTGGTATTTCGCTTTTACATGGGTGAATGTTGTTTCTCTGGTAAAATTTATTTTTAAATGAAAAGCAAAATTAGTCATAACAAATAATGTCTATTCAACAGATTCCAATTTGAGCTTGTTCATTGATTCAGACCTAGACTGCTATTGCATTATGTATAAACACATCGGAATCAAGCACAACCTACCATAGTTAGCGAATAATACGGTACCTGTACCGGTATGTCAGCAATCTGACAAAACCGTGCATTTCAGCCGACTTAATTTACAGAACATGCTCCCGTATATTAGGTGTCATTTACTACCGGTATCTATACTGAATAACATATATAAATTCTACCGGTAGGGCACCGTACCCACCTGACTTTCAAAACTTGATTCTTCAACTCATGTGCATACACGTTTTGTGTTACCCGTTTCCAAGTTAATGACTAAACCACCAACAATAGCGTGAAAATCCACTACAACGCGCAGAACGACGAATTTCCTCAAATTATCTTACATTTTACACCACTGACACAGCAAATCCAACCTACTCACTGTCACTGCATCCGCAAGCAGAAAATCGCACGTACCAAGATGGCCGCCGCGGCCTTCAATTCGGCACAAAATCTTTGCTCCTATGCGCTCTCTAGTTATATACACCTCAATGATTTTGACTATCCGATTAACCGGGTAGTTACTGCTAATTTTAGAGAACCGATTTCACAAAAATTTTGCGGTGAGTTGACCTAAAACCACCACACAGTTCTATTGTGAATAGCTCAAATTTGACAAATTCGCAAGATCGCAAAAACGCGTAATAAAACTGAATTTATCCGTGCAGCTTACCACGTATTTTCATATCTGCAGAATGCGGTGGCATTTTAGAGTAGAAGTGCTTTTATTTTAACGTAAGTCGACGCAATGGCAAGATACGTTAAAAACAGTTATTATGGAAAAACATTTTGAAATGCTTGAATCGGCCACAAATTGAATATTTTGCGCAATAGAATAAGTCAAAGGCATGCACATTACATTACATGCGTGGACCGGAAATTTTGAAATGTTACACATTACACAGATTACATGGACTCCGAGATATTGTGAAATAAGTCCTCGAAATTCAAACTGGCTTATTCCATCATGAATGCGTTCTTTCAATACACGCAACAACTAAAAGCCACACCCGACCGAAAAGCAACTCACACCCACGCATTCAATGCTTTTCAACTGATAAGTTTAAGTTTATAAGATAAGATGAGTTTATTCCGACTCCAGAGCATAAAATGTGATAAAATGACTGATAAAAACTGAATATTAAATCAGAAGAGTAATTAAATATTCAATCCATGGTACATGCAAGCTTTTTTAAAATGTATTGCCATATTAATTTAATTGTTTTCGTCGGAACTCGCCTTTGCGTCGACTTAAGGTAAAATAAAGCACTACTCAGGCGATATGGGGAGATAGAATAGGATTTAAATCAGCGCCGACTTTAAGTACTTATAACTAGCCGAAGACGTTTTGATTGAAAATATTTTACCATTATTATCGTATATTTTAACATAGTTGAGATAGTCTGTGCGGCCACAGCTATAAATCTGAAAGCAAATTGTGTCGGAATAGATTATTTTCATCCTCAGTTTCGATAGTGACCGCGTATAAAAAAGCTCTTAAATATTATTTAGTATCTATCGCTAATTTCATTGTTATCTCGTTATAATAATATCGTTAAGTCTGATTTTAATTCATAATTAATTATTAATTTATAAGCAAAAATAAAAAGTAACATTCGTCATAAAATATCAGCTCACACGATATTCGGTCTCAATTCTCCGTCATGGGCGGATGAAAATTTGGAAATCGGTAAGATGGTCGCGTTACAACAGTTGCGTTTTTTCTGATTTAACACATAGTTACGTGAGCAAAAAAAAATTACCAAAGCTAACGATGTCGATGGACTAAATAACACTCACGTTGACGATAAACAGACAGAATTTATAACAAAAATTACCCGTGTCAAAAAGTGTGTGCGATATCAAGAACTTGGATTTTAATGTAGAATTCACAACATTTCACTAATCGCATAGTTGCACTTTTTTCTATACCTCACAAGATACAAGACAATTCATAGGTATAAATACTGTAATGTAAAAGTGTAGTCTTTTTTTTCTCAGAAGCACGAAAACCACTAATTTGAATCATATCACATATGTCATTAGTATGCAGGCTTGTAGATGGGACATATTTTTCTGTCCCATTCCCATCCCCTAGCAATTATGTCTGTCCCATCCCATCCCATGGGATTCCCATTGGAATAAAATTCAATAAAAATTGTTAAATTTGGGTTTAGCGTCTACTAAATAGGACTACATGTACGAAGAGACATGCAACACAACAAAATTTACGGACTTTGTTAACTTTATATTCATAACTATTATGCATGTGTCCTTCAGCCCCTTCATGAAGTCTATTGTTAAGGCTGAATCTATTTTACTCTTTATAACTAACAAGAGAGCTATGCTCAAATATATGGATACGAAATACATAACGAAATGTTTTACCATCGTTTCCCTGAAAATCATACGGATGCCGTGTCCAATGGGAAATACAAATGTGTGCTGTCCCACCCCATCCCATGGGACATTTCCTATGGACAAGCCTGGTATTTACAATTAATAATATTAAAGCTTAATTCCTATATGACCTTGGATTTTTTTTAAAAATGAATAAAACTTATGTAGAGGATTTTAGAATGTATTCGAAATTCCAGATTCGAAAATATTTTTTTAGAATGTATTCGAAATAGTCAAGTATTTGGAAATGGCCATCCCTGGGCCCAAGTATATCCCAATGTCAGAAAGAGCTAGTTGGGAATAGTAAAACGTCATTCGAATATTTTTTATATTCCATTCTAATATACTGCCCAACCCTACTGATTTACAAGTAATGATTTGATTAACATTATGTAAATAAACTTGCCTTTTATGTATTACCATGTTTCCCCGAAAATAAGACCTAGCCTGAATTTTTAAAATTATTTTAATATAAGCCCCCTCCACTTAAAATAAGACCTAATCAATAACGCGAAAATTTTTTTGACCTAGTCGATAGCAAAAAATTCCCCCTACACATTTAAAATGATTGATAAACTATGTTTTGCATTCATTTGAATAAAAAAATGTGTTACTTATAAGTAAATGGATATCGATTTTTATATTTTGTAGATATGGTTATTTTATAATTTTCCTTTTGTATTTAATATTTTTTTTTTTTTTAATAAATGAAAATATAAGACATCCCCGAAATACCCACTAGTGTTATTTTTCGGAAGAAAATTAAAATAAGACCATCCTTAATTTCGGGGAAACAAGGTTTGGTAAAAACTTTTGTGGTCCGCAATAAATTTTCTTATATGCTTCAATAAAAATTACAAATGATGTCCGATCACTAGCAATTCCTATTGTTCACGACTAGGCGTTAGCTGAGCCTCGGGTATGTCAATGAGATGGTAGGTTAGCCACGTGTAAACCAGTGGTTTCTAACCCGGTAATTTTCGATATTTTCCCAACTAATCCGTATGCAATACTGCTCTAATTAGACAGAAATAAACTTTGAATTTATTAGTATTTGTTCGTATTTAAATAAAATTCGAGATTTCTTGCTACAAAACACAAAACTATGTCGGACTTTTGAGGTCAAATAAGTTTTTCCTCATTCTGTATTCAGTGATTGGATAAATTTTGGAATAGGTAATATTTTATCTGTTCGAAAATACTTCGTACAAGCGTCCGACACCGGCCCTCACAGCAACGGTTGGGACCAGTGGGGTAAACTACTTATGTAAAAACAGCGTTCCCATGAATTGATGTACACTAAAAATCGAACTTCCGTTTCGCCAAAAGGTGATGTACAGTTATTTGTTCGCCATGTTCACAAATGGCTCTGTAGCACTTTACACACTCACTGTTATTCATGGTTGGTATCTGCTTCTTGAACAGAATTCCATACTACTACATGAAAGTTATGCTTTATAAACTTGTTACACAGTTACCATTCTGGTTATTGGCTATAGTGGAAGAGTCTGGTCGGTGTGGATTAAACACTGCAGGGTCTGCATTTTCCATTTTAACCGACTCTTCGGTAGACATTTCTTCAGCGACAGAACTAGATGTTTCGTGTGAATCGTCTCTGATAGATTTCATAACGTCATCATAACTAGGTGGAAGATCAAGATAGTTGCTGCTCATTTCCAAATTTTGCTGGAGGTCTAGAAATATTTACTTGAAATATCACACTGCGATGATAGAACTAAACTACATGTATATATAATAAATGTCCGCTGGACGGGTTTTTAAATTGCTTTATTCCCCAACATAGGTGGGTGAAAGAAAAACATGACATGACACAAAGTGAATCAAATTGAACTGATACACATTGCTGTAATAATGAGCATCCAGTTATTTTTCGAAAATTTCACGAAAACAAAAAAAAATACAAATATGTAAATTTCCACCTTCCCGTTTCAAAATTTTCAGGAGATTGAAAAGTGCTGATAAACGAGTGCGATTTTTACAGGCTAATGTTGTTTGCATCGCCGATTGTTTTCTTCGGCTTGACGTGTTTATTTAGGGAATGAACATCGGTACTATGTCGGTTAAGAATGGCAAAGAAAGTATGTCACGCGAAAAGTTACCCGTTAACTTCGGTGACTATGATATAGTTTCCAAATGTTAATAACCATAATGTTGGCGATTAACAGCGTCTGACATAGTGTTTTGTTTTATCTGTCGATGGCTCAAAGTTAGTAGTGTTTTTCGATTATCCTTTAGTATTTTATAACGCTGTATTTTAGTCGTAGTATTTACTCCCTTATTTTTGGTCAGAAATTTAATGAATTCGCCAGATCGCAAAAATACAAATCAAAAGTTGATATAATCAGACAGTTTACCACGTATTTTCATATTTGCCGATTGCCATGATATTTCATAAAAGTGCTTTCATTTTGTCGTAAATGGACGAAACCGCGATTTATGTTGAACACAATTAATGTGAAAAGACATTTTAAATGCTCGTATCCGTCAGGAATTGAATATTTTGCACAGCAGAAAAATCACCCACTGAAAAAATCGACTGTTTTAACGAGTTGCGTGATCGCGGCGACTGTTTCAGAAAAGGTAGCTTGAGAATTTCCGACTCCGATGTTTAACTACGCCTGGCAAAAAAATCGAGCGGCCGCCGCCCCGGTTTTGCGCACTTTCTAAATTACGATGAACCGAAATTGAAAAAAAAACTATTCGAATACAACGCTGAACGAAAATATAAACGATAGAGACATCCCTACCGTATAGCCAACGCTAAATTTGAAAAGAATATAGAACTATGTTCAAAAAACACTGTCCACTTAAACTACTTTGAATGTGATTAGCCCGAGAACGAAGCAATAACTTCGCACACAACAAAATCAATGTCTTAAACGATCCATGGTCACTTTGTGTCAAAAACTTACCCGTCTGCGATCGTGTGATATTCTCAACATGAACAATAGAGTCCGTAGAGATGCGGCCGTTCTCAACTCGATGTATATCTTCCGAATCTCTCACTCGATTTTTCATTTTAAACAAATAATTACAACAAATGCAACATAGACAACCCGCAACAATAAAATAGATTAAACCTCCCATGTAGGTATTTGAATTTTATTTTTCTAAAGATTTACAAGAGTGTGGCGTCTAAATTATCAACATTATGTAGGAGGATGATCTCGCGTAGCCTCAGATAATTGCGCTACCTCACTTTGACGAACGTAAGAAATACATCGGTATGATTCAGTTTTGTCAAACCTATCACACCATTCTACTGTCCCAGACCTCTTGAATCATCAAGTGACTAATAGTTTACTAGTACGACATACAGTTGAGTAATGTAAATAAGTGATGTAATGTAAATGTTATACGGAGTAACAGCATATTTGCTCTAATTTCGATTCATTACCTATTAACGGTTGAGGCTTGAGAAGTTAGAATATATTTTTGTTAATATTTAAAATAAGAGTAAACAACATTACATAAAGCAAATTCTTGACAGACATCTCCGTAATTACTATATCTGATCACTAAAATGATGAGTTTGGTAATATCAAACTTGCTTAATCATAATTTTGAGAATAACAATGACGCCGCATTTTTATTTAACTTGTTCTTTGTCATCATCTTCGCCAAACTTGAATTGTTTTACGCAATATATATCTTAATTTATAAAAGTAACAGCATATCCATAAGTTGTATACAACCACCTTCTGAGATACGCAGAAGTCAAGACTTGGAGCATTAACCCGTGAACACTATAGAGTAAATCTCCCATAAGGACCAGGTGAATATTCTAAAATTCTCGAGCATGTAATTCGACGTTTAGCGAAGAGATGTGAGAAATCGCTTTTTGGCATTAACAAAGAAGTCTGTGTGCAAACTTGTACTTGACCCATCGAAATTTAGCACGTCCTTGACTTTGTAAAACATTCTGTCTGATCAAGCGCGTCGCAGATAATATGCTTCATCATTTGTGTGACGCGCGAGTTGTGCCGACACTACCTAAACCTAGAAACAATTTCATTTGATGATGCAAATTTTATATGTAGTGCTGTTGTATCCAAGAAACTAAACCCCTGTTATGAAAAAAAATTCATATAAAATATCTATTCGAAAATCAATTCAGACATGGTTCTTCATTCCTTTCATCGACAAATATTTAATTAAATGATACAATCTGAAAACGGAGGGATTGGAATTATTTAAAGAAATCTTGATGTCTAGCATTAGAATGCAAATAAAAGAAACGAATAGTTCTAAAAATCTGTGATGCAGAACCATCGGTGTGTACACAACCGCTAATTTTAGCTTACATGTATTAGCTTTTGGAATATTAGCATAGCAAGGATTGTAGTAACAGATTAAGATTCGTAAACTTTGCAATCAATCTGAAAAGATGACATGCTTGTTTTTTTAATTGCCATAATTTGTCGATTTTCGTTGTAATATACAATAATCACCCATGTATTTGACACATTCAAGATAATCGTTAATGCCACAAGTCATTTATAGTCGGTGCATTGCAATAAACTTTTAAACTGCGTAATCAAAACTCATCAGATTAAAGTGAAAGAAACTAAGCCGACTGTAGAAAGTTTGTGAACACGCCGTTATATGAAAAATGCGAGAAATGGCAATCTATCAGCCACACGGATGTTCTTAAAGTGCAATTCCGAATTTCATGAAAATATCAACGCTTACCGAGTCAATTAAGCAGTTAGAGTAAGGTTATAGTCATGCGTTATTTCGTGATATTTTATGCGGAAGTTTGAGGTTTGCCAATGCCACAGTTTGTTGTCTAAAGATTGCATTCGGGGGTTGGGTTAATAATGACCCATAAGCTCGGAATTTGATTTTGAATGGGTCAGAGTCTGATGAAACTAATTTACTGAATACAAACCACTATCGAAAGTACAGTTTAATAAAACTGCAAGACTGTACATGCTTTCCATCCTGAACCTGATTACTTTTATAATAAGGAGTTGAAATATTCATCAATTCACTTTACACAATATTCATTTTATTTGTATATTTTTGAGGTCCCCTCTGAACAATGTTTGATGGCCCAGAAGTTTAAAATGGAGTTGGTGCATCTGGTACAGCGCCAATTTGGACACCATTATTGCTAACAAGCGATGCTATAATATATATAGACGAATGCTAAAACGAGGAAATATCAAATCTTTTGCAGTATCACTGTGATCACGGAACCACGGCACGCAGTTTAATTTTGATGACGTCATTAAACAAAACTTTAAAGTGAAAAACGAATCCCATAGAAGCCACACATACTTTTAAAATAAATAAAAGTAATACTAACTATACCTACTAACGACAACAACAAGCTTTAACCACTAATATTCTCGAAGCAATTAGTCTAGTATTTGAAAAGAAAAAAATTTACAACAACAACGTAATAACAAAATATCCATATCGTGTGCAATTATTTGTCTTCGCAAGTCAAGTTTATTTTTTTCAACCAGTAAAATCAACAACAATCGAACACAAATTACGAGAAAATGATGAATAGACAGTTTTACTGGGAAATGGAAGTCTCGGGGAACTAAAGCTGGTTATCGAGCAGCGACATCCGAATTTCAAATATCTAATTTGAGAAAAGTTGAATTTTTAGAGTTTGGAATCTACAGTCTTTCATGGTGGCTTTCAACATTATTAGTAAACGGTAACCTATGATACCGGCTACGTTTGTACATGTACCGGTGCGGTTTCTCTATCAGTACAGAGTACTTTATATATGTTAAGATTCAGTTAAGATTGCTTATCAGCCAATAAAAAATAAATAAATAAGTTACAGTAAAAAAAAAAATTATACAGTTTCACTAAGAGACAGATAATTAATAGAAATTGTGATAAAAAATTTCCCTTTCACAAGAGCCACAAGAGTTTGACCAACGACGGGGAATCCCAGATTTTATCTGGATTAATTGAAGCATGAATGCTGCTTTGAAAGATACCGGATACCCCAGGTTGGGGAATTTTGAAGGTGACCTAGCCATGTGGTTACACTGTGAAGTGCCAGAAGATGTCTACTTATGGAAAAAAATCAGGTACCGTAAAGAATGACACACTGGGTGTTATAATATAGAATAGTTACATTAGGTCGATATGAATGAACACCAACAAATGACAGAAGTGTGCGACACAGGTTATAGCGTGTCGAACTTATTGGGCACGAAGATGACCAATGAATAGTTCTAATATTATGTTATTGTTGTTAGAATTCTTGTTTTCGTTGTCGTGAAAATATCGATTTCCTCCTTAATTACTGGACCAATTGCTCTGTGGTTAAAGATTGTTGTCGCCTAGAAGGCTATTACTTTTATTTGTTCCTAATTTCCTATTAGATCAGATATTTCATCTAAATTCCGTTTTTTTTTTTTTATTCATGGGAATACGTTTTCGACAACGTTAGGACTGCCTTACGTTTTGATTTCGCGAACTGAAGCTACGCGAAAGTCCGAGGTTATTTTATACCGCATTGTAGACTAGGTACTGTAGATTATTAACTATTCGACCATTTGCTTTCAAATTTTCAGTAGTTAAAGATTGTAATATTCACTAGAAGGCTATTGCAAAAATGTTTCCTCGTTTTAATTATGGATACTAGGTTGTGTTCTAGAAAAGTCTTTCGGAATATCTTAGTCCTGCCAGTCTGCGTAATCATTTAATTTTATAAGTGCTTTAGATTCATATTGGCCTTATTGGGTTGAATGAACTGATTTTTTATTCAAAATTTGATACTAATTATTAATTGCATGTATTATTCCCATGCTTTATAACACACGAGTCCCAAATATATTTAAGTGAGCCAATTTGACTGTCTCTTCCAACCAATAATCTGGCATCTGTGAATTCTCCCGCATGTCGCTCCCATCTTTCTGGGTTTGTTTTGTGAGAGCACCTCTGTCATTGAGAATTTTTTAAGTTCTATTTTTCATTTTTTTTTTATTTCAAGTTTGAATAGAAATCAATATCTGGCGTGGTCTTCCATTATTGCTTTGTAATGATCCATTCAGTAAGAAACCTGCAATATAGATGCCCCCTTTTAACCTTGCATTGAAAGTTTCCATTTATTTTACACAAATTATAAATTGACAAAGCAAAGAATACTTTAAAACGCGAAATTTTCGCCCTAAGACGGCATCGCAATTGTTATAGATAACATTAGATAATTGTAGTGAGTTTTAGTACGACTAAAAAAAATCAAAAAGTCAATATTACATTAAACATCACATAAAAAGAAAATTTTGTATATCTTACAACGGGAGCCATATCATAACTTTTATTTATATTTCTGAACAAATAGGTTTCTTCTCCATTGCTGATATGTTCAGCCAAAAACAAAACAGTTACAGTGGAATTTCTTGTAAGTTGGTTTTCCCACCCAACTCTGACTCATTAATAAGTATTTCGAATTTAAAGTAATAGTTCAATTTTACGAGGCTTCATTTTACGTTATTTCAATTGGCATGTATCCAAAGAACTAGCCACACAATATAATTAGTTCTGTATGACGGCACAAAGAGCTGCAAACATCAATAACGATATAACAGAAATCACTCAAATAGGCATTCGTCACATCCTTAATCAATGAAGATTGATTTCAAGTGAGTAGTTTTGAACGAGGCGGCATGGTCAAATAATTCTTTAAATTTGATTTGTTCCGCCGACCCATACTCCACCAAACAACTCTTCGGAAGGTTCGGATTCATCATATGACCTTAGAAGCATCGTTTCTGGATTATTAGCTGTCTGAAGTCTGTCTTCTTTATTGTCTATTTGGATGCTTCTAATACAATTTTTTCCTGAGTCATCTCGTGTCATGAGACGTGAAGTTGCATGAAACACCGACCCGTGGTCAGAAGTCCTATCAAAGTTTTTCAGGGAGGAATCTCTTCTTTTTCCACTTGTCATTTGATTTTCCGATAATACGCCTGCCATAAAAGATAAGGCACAATACAACATTAGATTGGTTCCACATGAAAACCAATCTATTGTTATCCTATTCTGAACGAACATTTTGCTGTGACTGCTAGTAGTGAATCGGGAAGCATGCGACTGAAGGTGGTCCTAAAAGGGGATCAATGTGGCTGAGGGTATCTTAAATTTGCGATGCCAAAATGGTTAGGTATACCCGTCGATAATTCATTATTTTAGCAGTATAATAGCTTTTCCACAAAAACAATGCGTGTTTACATGAAAAAATAAAATAATTAATATGGTAAGCAACCTC